GTAATTGGAAAGCCTTTGCATCAGGTTCCTGGGGAGAGCGGCCTTATTGGGTCCTCCGTGGTATGAAACGTTTCCGCGCCAGGAGACCATCAGCTACTCCGGGATCATTGCCCTGCAGAGCATGGCGGCATACGGCCCTGGTCTTTGCAGGCTTTCCCGGAGCATTCTTTCTTTATCTCTGTCTGAGATCCTCATCAGGGTGATGTCGCTCATGGTGACCTGCTTTGAATTAGGTAGGGGAATGTTAGTATTGGGACTGCTTGCCCGTTCCTTTACAGAACTGTAACCGCTGGTTTACAGCCACGCGGTGGAGGCGGGAGAGGTGCGGCATACAGGGATCTTTCCCTGGGACAGCCGCGAGGGGGTGGGACAGGGGCAGAGTTGATGCTGGCCGGATTGCTGGCAGCAGGGACTAGCATTGCTTTCAATGTGAAAGGAGGCCAGTGCTACTATCAAAGTTTTAAGCAGCCACAAGTCTACGGCTTACCATGTCTGCCTGCCACACAAATTCCGGTGTCCTGCCCCGCTTCTCAAATCGGCAGTGCAAGACCCCAGGCACTGAATGCGAGGGCCGAAAATTCGACCTTGTCCTGAGTGCGCATGTGATAGGTACAGTGCATGGTCTTGTTCACAGAGAAAGACTATGTTCTTTGTTCACAACTACATTTATCTTTCTGAGGAATTCACTCCCTTTTTCCCATTCCCACAGCCACATCTGCGACTGTCTCCCAACCCAGCCTGGCATCACACACCCAGAGGCTAGCGCAGATTAGGCGGAGGAAGAAGAGGACATGTTCTCAGAACTAATGGGCTGCTCCCGAGCCCAGGCAGCACAGCAGACCCAGTGGAGGGAGAACTTGTCCCAAATGCACCGGACACACATGGAACGTGAGGAGAGGTGGCGGCAGGAAGACCAGCAGGCGACTCAAACACTGCTTGGACTTATGAGGGAGCAAACGGACACGCTCCGGCGCCTTGTTGATGTTCTGCAGGAACGGAGGCAGGAGGACAGAGCCCCGCTGCAGTCTATCAGTAACCGCCCGCCCCCGCCACCGAGTCCCATACCCCCCTCACCCAAAGTCCAAAGAAGGAGGGGCGGCAGAGTCCGTGAAAACTGTCACTCCACCCCTGCAGACTGCTCAAGCACCAGAAGGCTCTCATTCCCCAAAATTTGAAAAGTCCTTTCCTTCCCGCCTCACCCAAGCCCCCGTCCATGTTTCACCCCCCAGTTTCATGTGTGGTTGTTAATAAAAAATACGTTTCTGTTCATTACTGTTTCCATCATGTTCTTTAGAGGAGAGTCTGTCTGAAGGGGGGGTAGGGGGGTTGATAATTGGACAGGACAGCAGCAGGGCACACACACAGTGCAGTCACTAGTTACCCTGGTCAGTCTGGGAGGTGGTTTTCATGTTCTGTGGGGGGGTGGGGGGTTGCTCTGTGACTTTGTGGCGGGGGAGGGCAGTTACAGATCTTATGCAGCAGCCCTTATCCTGGATCACAGAGCCACGCTGCAGGGGATCTGTAACCCTCCTCCCCCTGCCACAAAGTCACAGAGCCACCACATACACGCAGTCCCCATCAGGAGGGCTGGCAGGCTCCGTTGAAACAACCAGTCCACCACTGCGGAGCCTGTCATTCCTGCAGTTTAGAAGCGTCATTTGCATCAGTACACTACACCCGCTCCCCACCACAGTCTGCGTCCCAGGTTTAAAACATTCCCGCGAAAACAGTAATAAAGAAAACGGTGTCCATTAACAAAATAGAAGTCATTTTATTTTTAAAGGTGTGTTGGAAGGGGGTATGTAACTGGAGAGGATAGTCAACATTGACTGGGTAAAGAAACAGGGGCAGGTTCAGCTTCTCTGTACACAAACTTAAAAGTCACAGGTTACCCTGCTCACTCAGGAACCTAGCTTTCAAAGCCTCCCGGATGCACAGCGCGTCCCGCTGGGCTCTTCTAATCGCCCGGCTGTCTGGCTGTGCGTAATCAGAAGCCAGGCTATTTGCCTCAACCTCCCACCCCGCCATAAAGGTCTCCCCCTTGCTCTCACAGAGATTGTGGAGCACACAGAAGCTGCTATAACAATGGGGATATTGGTTTCGCTGAGATCACAGCGAGTCAGTAAGCTTCTCCATCTCCCCTTGAGACGGCCAAAAGCACACTCCACCACCATTCTGCACTTGCTCAGCTGGTAGTTGAAGAATTCTTTTTCAGTGTCCAGGGCGCCAGTATAGGGCTTCATGAGCCAGGGCATTAGCGGGTAGGCTGGGTCCCCGAGGATCACTGTAGGCATCTCCACATCCCCAAGAGTTATTTTGTGGTCCGGGAAGTAAATACCTTCCTGCAGCCGTCTAAACAGACCAGAGTTCCTGAAAACGCGAGCGTCATGAACCTTGCCTGTCCATCCGACGTTGATGTTTGTAAAACGTCCCCGATGGTCCACCAGTGCTTGCAGCACCATTGAAAAGTAGCCCTTTCTGTTAATGTACTGGCTGGCCTGGTGGTCCGGTCCCAGGATAGGGATGTGAGTTCCATCTATAGCCCCACCGCAGTTTGGGAATCCCATCGCGGCGAAGCCATCTATGATGGCCTGCGCGTTTCCCAGGGTCACTATCTTTGAGAGCAGTACCTCAACGATTGCGTTGGCTACTTGCATCACAACAACCCCCACGGTAGATTTGCCCACGCCAAAGTGGTTCGCGACTGACTGGTAGCTGTCTGGCGTTGCAAGCTTCCAGAGGGCTATGGCCACTCGCTTCTGGACAGTCAGGGCTGCTCACATCCGGGTGTCATTGCGCTTAAGGGCAGGGGACAGCAACTCACAAAGTTCCATGAAAGTCCCCTTCCGCATGCGAAAGTTTCGCAGCCACTGTGATTCATCCCAGACCTGCAGCACTATGCGGTCCCACCAGTCCGTGCTTGTTTCCCGGGCCCAGAATCGCCGTTCCACAACATCCACATGACCCATTGTCACCGTGATGTCCTCGGCGTTGGGTCCCGTGCTTTCTGACAGGCCTGTGCTACTCTCAGACTTCAGGCCCTCACCGCGGTGCCGTAGCCTCCTCGCCTGATTTATCTGCATCTGCCTCTGGGAAAGGTGGATGATAAGCTGCGAGGCGTTGACAACGGACACAACTGCAGCGATGGTCGCAGCGGGCTCCATGCTCGCAGTGCTGTGGCGTCCGCGCTGTCACTGACCAGAAAAGTGTGTGAACTGATTTCCCGCCAGCGCTTTCAGGGAGGGAGGGAGGGCGGTAGTGACGGACGGATGACGACAGTTACCCAAAAGCACCCTCGACACATTTTTTTACCCAGAAGGCATTGGCGGCTCGACTCAGAATTCCAATGGGCAGCGGGGACTGCGGGAACTGTGGGATAGCTGCCCACAGTGCACCGCTCCCAATGTCGACGCTTTCCCCGTTACTGTGGACTCACAAAGTCGAATTACTGTCCTTAGTGTGGACACACACGTTCGACTTTGCAATATCGATTCCACATATTCGATTTAAGAGAAATCGAACTACTCTCGTAGTGTAGACATACCCTAAAACTGCTTGGTCTAGTAACACCAAACTTGTGCTTATGAGGAGTAGTGCAGGGGTTCTTAACCTTTTTCTTTCTGACCCCCCCCCAACATGCTATAAGAACTCCATGGCCCACCTGCCTGTCTCACAACAACTAGTTTTCTGCATATAAAAGGCAGGGCTGGCATTAGCGGGTAGCAAGCAAGGCAATTGCCAGGGGCCACATGCCACAGGGGGCCCCACGAAGCTAAGTTGCTCAGGCTTCATCTTCAGCCTCGGGTGGCGGGGCTCAGGGGCCTGGGCTCCAGCCCCAAGAGGTGGGGCTTCAGCTTTCTGCCCTGGGCCCCAGCGAGTCTAACACTGGTCCTGGTTGGTAGCCCCCCATAAACCTTCCCGCAGCCCCCCAGGGGGCCTGTAGCGGGGTGGCTACCCCGCTCCTGCCTGAGGGGTTTAAAACAGCCCTGGCAGAGGGCTGGGGCAAAGGGAAAAGCTACTGGGCTGATTGGGGAAGTAGCCCCAGCTGGGCCACGCCCCAATCAGGCCCCAGCTGGTCCTATATAAGAGGCTGGGAGCCAGGCACTCAGTCTCTCTCTGCCTTCAGAGAGAGAAGGGCCTGGCTGCAGGGAGCTAGACAGGGTACCTGTGGTGGAGCAGGGCTGGGGAGCTCCAGCCTGGATAGTCCCAGGCTGTGGCCTGGTGATAGGCCAAGGGGTACTGGGGGTTGCAGAGGGCAGCCCAGGGCTAGGCCAAGGCAGCAGGTCCAAACCCCCCTTGCCAGTGATGAGTGGCCGATATTGCAGTCTGCCCCAGGGAGCGGGGGCTAGTTGGTGACTGGCAGTGGCCTAGTGCTGCGGCAAGGTGGGGATAGTGGGGGGGGGTTCCCCTGGGAGGGGAGACCTAGCGTGTGGGTACTGCCAGGGGGCAGCACCCAGAGCAAAGGGGCACCGGGGTCCTGGGAGGGACACTGGGGCCAATGCAGAGGACAAGGCGGATCACCGGCCTGCAGAGGGCGCTCGAGTGGCTGGTGAGCTAATTCCCTGGACGACCAGCAGGAGGCGCCGCAGGGGTGAGTCCGGCCTCCTCTACAGGGCCCCAGACCCCTGGTTGAGAACTACTGGAATAGTGTATCTGAATAGCCCTTTTTTGTTTTAGTTAGGTGAATGATGTGGACTGGATGTTGAACTACTAGAGGTAGATGCAGTTTCATGTACATAATGTCTGTATGATCCAAGCATGATTTACAAACATGTATCAGGCAAAGCTGCTGCAAAACTTTTAAGTTAGGAAAGTAGGCGTTAGGAGCTGCAGTCCTATGGAGTTCCTAAATTTGGCTTAAGCTCTGAGATTTAATATCCCTTCCAAAGTTTTTGTTATTAATTATGAGCACGCCTAACAGAGTTTTAAGTGATTGTAAAGTCAGGTGAATCTGAAGAAAAGATCTTTATGCGTATCACCATTCTCCTGATGTTACTCACCCTTTTCAGAATCAGTCAGCAAGAAGAGATCAGGATGTTCTGGGTCATCAGCCATCATCACCATCCATCCTACCACTGACACATTTTTACTTGGTGTAGATTTGAACTGAAAAAAACAGAGAGTATGTATTAATGTTAAGCAAGAGGGTTCAGCCAGAATTAAAGCATCACATATTACAAAAATATGGAAATAAAGGGCCAATTCTGCTTTCTGCTAACCTGCCAAAAATACAAAATAATTCTATTCTGGATCTCCATAAAGGAATAATAGGAAACAACACAGCCACAAAGTTGTGTGGTCATAAACATATATATTGTACAGTTTGACAAAAGTCAGTATTTTCAGCACCATGATACTTTTACTGTATACTATACCGATTTCACTGGGAGATCAGCATTTCTCAAATTGGGGGTCCTGACCCAAAAGGGTGTTGCAAGGTTATTTTAGGGGGGTTGTGGTATTGCCTCCTTTACTTCTGCGCTGCCTTCAGAGCTGGGCGGCTGGAGAGCGGTGGCTGTTGGCTGGGCACTCAGCTCTGAAGGCAGCACTGCGCCAGCAGCAGTGCAGAAATAAGGGTAGCAATACCATACTATGCCACCCCTACACTTCTACGCTGCTGCCTTCAGAGCTGGGTGGCCGAAGAGTGGCGGCTGCTGACTGAAGGCCCAGCTCTGCAGGGAGCAGCTCTGCCTTCAGAGCTGGGTTCCCGACCAGAAGCCACCACTCTCCAGCTGCCCAGCTTTGAAGGCATCGCTGACGCCAGTAGCAACGCAGAAGTAAGGGTAGCGGTACTGCAACCCTCCCTACAATAACCTTGTGACCCCCCCCATCCCTTTTTGGGTCAGGACCCCTACAAATTACAACACCGAGAGTTTCAGATTAAATAGCTGAAATCATGAAATGTACGATTTTTAAAATCTTATGACTGTGAAATTGACCAAAATGGACCATGAATTTGGTAGGGCCCTAATGATGTCAAAGGCTTTTATCTGCATGAGTTTGTGATAGATGCGTTACAGACAAGTGATGAACCCATTACTCAATAATACAGATTATACCAAATAAACCTTTATACTATACCACATCATTTCGTATTCTGTTTATGCTACGTATATTAGAGAAAAAACTATTTTACAAATATTTCAGTTAAAAGTTGTACTGAGACTTTCACACCCCTCTCTCTCTGCAAAGCCAGGGCCTTAGCTACTCTCATTTCAACTGTCTAGGTCTCCAAATGAACCATAAAAATCTTTAAAAATTACTGAAAATATCCTTTTTATACCTAAAAATTAAACAATGTAACCGCCAGACCTAGAAACAAATGCTTGAGAAGATTGAAACCCATCTTTTTCATAAGGATAAAACTCCTGCATCTATATCCCTTTGGAGTCATGAGATATCAGGTAAAATTTTTGATATTTTTATGTCTAGAAAAGCTGTTACTGGTCCAGGACTAAATCATGCCTATCCTGGGCCTCAGGCTGGAGTTATTTGGGGTGGGAGGCAATTTTGTGGAAGTTCTACTTTTTGGATGGGATGTTGGGTGGTGTGATATACGTGAAGAAAAACATTTGCCATATAGCTATTTTTTTTTTTTTTTTTTAAAGACAGTTATTTGCAGAGGGTTGAAATAGCAAAATAAGTACTGGGTGAGGTAAAGAGAACAAAAATGGTCAAAAGTGCATGATAAATGCTTATCACAAGAATATCAACATATCACATATTTTGATATTCTTGTGACAAGCTATGGAACAGTTTGATAATATGGGGTATACTTTAAGATCATTTTTAGAAGTTTTACAACTGTATTAATACTGTTTTTCCTCTCCCTCTTCTGTACAACTGGTCTCAAGATACTAGCAAAATCTGGTTTATCGAGGCTGAGATATGGAAAATTAGTCCCTATAAAATTAAAAGTAACATTTCTAAAATTAGATTTTTTTTTTTTTTTGGAAAAACGTGGCATGAATAAAATACAAAATAGTGCAAAGTGGTATGAAGACTCATTAGGACCTATATAACTCACTTGTAGCACTGCCATTTGTAAATAGCAAGAACAATCCAAACTCATGCCAATAAAATATTTATACCACCATACTCCATCATTGTACATGTGATATACAAACCCACAAATAAATACTTTTTTGGGTGAGCACTGCCAGGATTATGCCACTTCTTTCCCCACTCCCACCCATTGGCAATGTTGCTATCCTCCTCCTGGGTCAAGGGGGCTTTTTGGCAATGATGATGCTTTCCTAACCATTACTCTAAAGGCTTGTGACCAAAACTTGGATTGTGTGTCCAGAACACTCATTTCTGGAATTTGATAGGAAGCCTTTAAACAAGCCTTTACACACCTTTCATAATATAATAATTATACCATCTTCTTTTCTGAATGTATGCCATTTTAAAAACCATCCGTGAGTAAAGCAAACCTTTTTTTTAATCACACAATGTGTTTCAGATTAATTTTGACAGATGCACAATATGAAATGCGACTGGCAATTTGCATGTTGTTTAAATTACACAGAGTAATGATGCAATGCCCTTGATTTAGAAGCAGCTTGTAGAAACGACTCAAGTCTACCACAGCAGTTAGAATTTGGACTTTGCGTCCCAAACAGAAACAGTTGTTTTAGAAATCTTTTCAAACTTCTCCCTGTCAACAAGCGGATTCTGAACTCTGCTTTAGGTATTAGCAACTGACCTTTGGAAATGATAAAGTGACAATAGTCTCAAAGTTTTTCAAGTTATTAAAACTAGTTTAAAAAAGATTTCTATTTAAAATATCTTTTTTTTACTATAATACTTTATAGCAGATTTACAGAATGAAGTACCAAATGCATGTTCCAAATGTTTGTAAATAATGTGACTTAACCATTACATATACAATAAAAAGGGAGCATTAGCACAAATAATTACACTACAGCCAAAATGCTTCTGAAATAAATGTAGTCAAACTTTACTAATTCTGGGTCACTGAGAACGAAAATGATGCTTAAAATTGTTGATTGGCTCTAGTTTTCAAGATATGCTATTGGGTCAGTATATACGACCCTTGACTTGAGAATGGCGGAGGATAAGTGAGTTATAAAGGGAAGGGATATCAATTTAAACCAGAAATGACTAAAATACATCTTTGACTGGATCTATGAATAAATCTATGACTGGGTTTGGACAGTACTTGCTTTTTAGGCAAAACAATGAATGATGCAATCTGAAGCGGGTATTGCGTCATATGATATGAATTGCATCATGTTATTCCTAGAAGTCATGGATGATGCAATCATAATGAAGCTTACATCACTCTGCTGAACAAATTGCCCTATATCAGATCTAGAAATCATACAGTGTCGTGCTCTCTTATTTGTCAGTGTTTGATTTTGCAAAGGGACACATTTCTGTTTAGCCAAAGTGAGCAGAGATGCCTCGTACTTGTGTGAACAGTGCAGATAACTTCTGCTATGTTTGTGGTGAAGTGACTTTTGCATCACAAAAGCGCAGTATAACCACTATGGTTAAGAAAGCCTATCACCTTTATTTTGGCTGCAAAACTGGAGATCAGGACAAGAGGTGGGCCCCACACATATGCTGCAAGACTTGTGCAACAAATCTTCGCCAGTGGTTGAACAGGAAAAGGAAATCTATGCCTTTTGCAGTGCCAATGATTTGGAGAGAGCCAACAGATCATACCAGCAATTGTTACTTCTGCATGGTGCCTCCAGTTGGGAAAGGTGTGTCAAAGAAGAAAAAGTGGACTGTGCATTATCCAAACATTCCATCAGCTATACGCCCAGTACCCCACGGAGAAGGACTGTCGGTTCCTGATGCGCCAGAATCATTCTCACTTGAGTCAGACGAGGAAGAGGATGAAACTTCTGGTCCTGAACCATCAATGTCACAGGACCCACATTTTCTCCCATCCTCCTCCTCTGAACCACACCTCATAACAAGGTGAACTGAATGAATGACCTTGTCAAGGATTTGGAACTACCCAAGAGTAAGGCAGAGCTGTTGGGCTCCAGACTACAGCAGTGGAATCTCCTGGCAGGTGATGTTAGGGTTTCCATGTTCCGTGACCGTCAAAAGGATCTTGTCCCATTCTTCTTCATGGAAGGTGATCTTGTAGCCTGCAACAACATCGATGGTGTGATGGCAGCCCTCAACATTGTTCACGATCCAGATGAGTGGAGACTGTTCATTGATTCATCGAAGACGAGTCTTAAAGCTGTTTTACTGCATAATGGCAATGTTTTGCCATCAATTCCAGTTGGTCATACAGTCTATATGAAGGAAACCTATGACAACATGAAACAACTTTTGAGGTGCATAAACTATGACCAACATCAGTGGCAGCTTTGTGGCGATTTGAAGGTTGTTGCTCTCTTGCTTGGTCTGCAGACTGGATACACAAAGTACTGCTGTTTTCTCTGCGAATGGGATAGTCGTGCAAGAGATTCCCACTACATCAAGAAAGATTGGCCACTCCGACAGTCATTGGAGCCTGGGAGGAAAAGTGTTCAGAATCCACCACGTGTTGAATCAAGGAAGATTTTGTTACTACCCTTACACATCAAGCTGGGTCTGATGAAGAACTTTGTCAAGGCCATTGACAAAACACAAGCAACTTTCAAGTACCTCCGTGGAAAATTTCCAAGGTTAAGTGAAGCTAAGATAAAGGAAGGTGTCTTTGTTGGTCCTCAGATTCGTGAACTTCTTTGAGATGATGCATTTGACCATGCACTGCGTGGCTAGGAAAAGACGGCATGGAAAGCCTTCCAGTTAGTGGCAATACATTTTCTCGGAAACAACAAGGCAGACAACTACAGGTTGTTGGTGGAAAACCTCCTCAAGGCATACAAAAGCCTTGGTTGCAACATGTCACTAAAGATACATTTTTGCACTCTCATCTAGATTTTTTTCCACCGAACTGCAGAGCAGTGAGCGACGAGCACGGCGAGCGATTTCACCAGGACATTGCAACAATGGAGAAACGCTATCAGGGCAAATGGAGCCCATCAATGATTGCAGACTATTGCTGGACAGTGACAAGAGATGCTCCATTGAATGAATACAAGAGACAAGCCAAGAAGCGCCGAGTAGAC